ATTGTTTTAAAAAGTTTTTGTTCATTTCTATTATTCTATTTAGATAAATGATGATTTTCTGTTCACCCTTCCAGCGGATGTGTGTTCCCTCTTTCCCCTTTCATCTATGCAACACCAACCTCGGTCCCCTGCCCAATAGCATCGCTGTCCTGGTGGGAAAGCTGGGATTGGTTGTCGGCATGGCAACACAGCAGGGCATTTCCGTTGGACACATACCACGAAGTCTTATGTTAAAAGAGAGAGATACCAGAAGTGGGCCTCCACCTCTACCACAGTCTGGTCCCACCGGTTCCGGGGTGGGGGTGGGGAGGGCGGGGAGGGAAGGTTCTCCTTTGCAAAGATTGTAGTCTGTCCCCTGTTGATTCACTCAAATTGCCCGACATTTGCTGCTCGAACAACACACAGTTCAGCTGGGCAAGTGTCCAAGCTGTTTTTTCCTAGGCAAGACCAGAGGCCTCCTTCAAGCCTCTCCGCTGGCTCTTGAAGATGAAAACGGCTCTGTAGGTCCTCTGCTCTGCAAAGGCTAGGAGAAAGGTGGTAGCCTGCACAGATGGTTCACTCTCAGGTTAAAAAGGTCAGGCCTGAGTGCAGGAGTCGCGTTCAGATGCTCTTCAGGATGCGGTAGGCATCCACCTTCCCTAATAACCCAGTGTTGGGGCCCACATTCCTCTTCCACCACCACTGCTTTTCAAGTCTTCTGTGTTTCTTCTTAATCCTCCTCCTCACTCATACGTGACCAGACCCTGCAACTCTTCTGGTCGAGGCTCACTGCCCCTCTGTGGCTTATTCTTGGATCACATCTTTCTGGAATCCATTTTTCCTCCACTCCTAGCCTTTATTTATTTTACAATCCAAAGAGGATCATGCTCTGAGAATTGAGCCTCTTGGTGACTGGCCCCTTACTTACACTTGCCCTGTGGACGGAGACTTTTCAGTGAAGGGCTGCTGGCAAGACTGGCTTTGGAACATGCCTGACCTAATCACCATGTTCCCTTCCAGAGTCATCACCCCCAACTTCGGGAAAGTAGAACAGAGTAGACCTATATTCTAGCAAAGTGTTACCTTCTTGGGAGCCTGTTTTCTTTCCTTAGAAGCAGAGAAGAAAGCACTAAGGGAGGCTGGGGAAGGAATTCTCTCTCCAAAATAGCAACTCCCACTTGGCTGTTTTGCTTAGTTTTTCCTGCTTTACTTTGTCTAGATGAGTCCTGAGCTCAAATCAGGAAATTCTCCAATAAAAGTAGAGGTGATTTTCCTAAGCTTTCCCTCGGCATCCATGGGGTACCTGTCAGTTCATTACTAAGCTTTACCATGAAGAAAGTTCTGGGGTTTCTAGTTCATAAAACAAATTGTACTGCCCAGCCCTTTTTCTCAACTTAGTACTTCTGAGGCAGAGATAGTGACCAGAGGGGCTTGCAGAGAAAGTGGTACAAACTGAATGACCTTTTCATAACCTGGAGTTGATTTCTGAAAACTTCTTTTGTACTTTTTAGAAGTAATTCGATAGCGATTCTTTAAAGCCAAAGGTTGAATCCTACTAGATGCCTAATAAGCTCTTGCTTTCTAAGACTGTTCCATCCTTTTCCATCCAACATCCTCCCATTTCTGCTCATACTGACATGTCCCAGAGCAAAGGAATGGTTCATAGGGCCCTTTCTCTGGGGTATTCTGTTAGCATGCCATCTCCCTTGGATGACTGCGAGGCCTAAGGGTGCAAGGGGGAATCAGCTGCTGGAGTTCTTCATCGAACTGCTTTTCCTGCTGGGGTGCTCATGACTGTGGAGTGCTCACACAGTAGGCCAGCACAGGATGGGAATATTTAGATTGAGCCAGCTTCCCTGCTACAATTCTGCTACATCATTGACTTGAGGGCAGTGGGTCCAATAATGAAATTACTTGCTTCAAAATAGCCCTACCCACAAGTCAAAGATCACCTCTGGTGAGAACCCTCTCAAAAAATTGGACAATAAGCATCTCTTTTTTAGTGTTGAAAGGTTTGCTTGGCAAATCTTTCCAACTATCTCAGGAACTTCTGAGACTCAGGACTAGTGCTGCCTTTCCTGGAGAGAAAGTGCGCTCAGTTGCTTGGGCTCCAGTGCACGTGGTGAGGTTTATCTTGGCCTGGCCTCTTCAGGACTTGTCTACAGCACTAACCAGACATGGCTTTGGGAAGAGCTTAATGGGAGAGCAGACCATTTGGGGACCTATTTGTACCTGATAGGATTCATGAGGAAATCGAATCCACCTTTTTTCTAGTAATAAAATGAAGCAAAGGTATCTCTGTAGGAAGAAATAGACTAGACCAAAAACTGGTTTAAATTAGAAAATACAAATTACTGGGGCACCTGGGTGGCTCTGTTGGTTAAGCGTCTGACTTTGGCTCAGCATGGTTGGTGGGTCCAAGCCCCACGCTGGGATCTCTGCTGTCAGCACAGAGCCCACTTCAGTTTCTGTTCCCCCTCTGTGCCCCCCTCTCTCTTCCCCTGCCCCGCTCTGGCGTGCACACTCTCAAAAATAAACATTAAAAAAAGAGAAAATATAAACTACTTAGAGTAACAGCAAGCTCGTATGTGTTCAATTGGGAGTACTTTTTGCGTTAAACCTCTTCAGTGGAACTTTAAAACACTATGTATTTTATTTTTGAAATTGTGTTATCCTTGTTGGAATAAGACTGCTGTGGCTTTGGGATGAAGATACTGTGTCTGACAATAGGGAAAAATGGGTGAGATTGCTAGGAAAAGCTGCCTTGTTCATTCTGTAAGTGAATGCTGTTTTTTGTTTTTTTTTAAGAGGATTTGCTTTCTGCTATTTGCACATACTCAGCAGTAGGAACAGTGTGAAATGCTGGTTCATGTTAGTGGAGGTGCAGGATGGACGATGTGGGTTACAAGTCACCTGGCTCTGCTTCCCAGGTGCTGTACATGGCCTCTCTGCTGTTGGATGGTAGTGTATCGTTTTTATTTTTAGGGCTGCTCAGGTACCTCCATGGTAGAAATTTCATTCTAAGGTCCTTTCCAAGTTGCGTATCATTTGAAATGTTCCATTTGAGGAAAGATTTTAAGTGCCCTATGCTCTAGTCACCAAAAAAAAAAAAAAAAAAATCATGAGAAACCTAAATATTGAGGTATAAGCTTCAAAACCAAGCGAGGAATTGGGCCATGGACTATATGGCGATAGCTGGGCCACAGTTACCGTTTTTCCCACCATCAAGGAAAGGTTAAATAGTTTCCATCACACGGAATGTGTACAAAGCTCCCACCCTTAATGCAGACTTAGATATGCACTTGTTTGTCTCAGGCTATTTGTGGTGAGTAAGAGTATTTTTAAATGCTCTGTCAGCCTTGGAAAAATTGCAGGGCTTTAAAGTTGTTGATAAAATATTTCTTAAATAAATAAATCTGACTTAGTATCTAAACATGAACAAAGTACTTTTAAGTCTGACATGTCCCTGCAAGTGGCTTTTTAAAGTAGTTGCTTAAAAACAGTAACGGGACCAAGGATTTGTAGCTCCAATCATAACTTGGGAAGGGTGGCTTGAAGGGCTTGCTTTCTTATTTTAGGTCTCAGCAGAACTATGCTTATGGGAGGAGAAAATCTAAGGTTGAAACACCATAGAGATGAATGTAGGGGGCAAGTCCTCTTAAAAGGGAACCCAGCAGGGCTGGGGTCTGCTGTACCCGCACCTAGCTGCTGGGTGTGCCGGGGCCCTGTCAACCCTGTACATGCCCCAAGATTGAAAGTTCAGTCTAGCACCCAATAAAGGGCGTCTGGTGCTTTTCAAATACCCAGGGAAGAGATTTTGAAGAGTTGGGAGAACTGTGTTCTCACCGTGTAACATGCCTCAGGTTTAAAAAACAACAAAAACATTAAGTTCAGTCTCCTTAACTATTGGCAACAGCGAAACTCACATTCATGTTTTAGCAAGCTCAATTCTATCTACTGAGTGTCTGCCCATGGACCACCTAAACACTCTGTTCTGCGTCTTCTATGCTTATGGAATCCTGGCTCTTCAAGATAGGCTTTGCTGGTCCTTGAAGAAAGCTCTGATCAGCAGTGGAATTCTTCTTCCAATTGTGTTTCTTCCTTTTTGATCTTTGGACCCACTGTCAGATATCTGACTTTTAGAAACTCTTACACAGGTAAGATCTTATGTGAATAACACAATACCAAAAGTGTGGTAAATTAAAGCAAAGTGATCATAATGGTCCTTGCTTTAAAAGGGAAAATATGTAAATGTACCATTATAAGTTAGCTCTGCAGCTGCAGCCACTTAAATATTATTTGGCTTTGAGCAAATATAAGACTGTGCCAAACTGGGCACTAGCTCCACTTGAATGAGAGTAACTAATAGCTGGGGTGACCACAAACACACTCTCTAAAATTTTAAATGGGGACAGCATTTAACTGCTATTTGCAACAGCATTTGTAACCCAATCACTGTTAAAGTAGCGTATATTCCTAGTAGATACCAGTTAGAAAGTTTCTTGGCATGACTTCATATATAGACCATGTATCCTGAAAGTGGTGATATAACATGGTCTTGGCTATGTTATTACTGAACTGTGTTCCCTGCCTATCAAATAATTTTTAGAAAGCCTCACCTCATAGTCCTGTACTAAAAAACTTGACATGAAAAAGTTTTGAGGACTATTTAAGTGCTATAAATTTAGCCATCAATCATGCTATACTGTACCTTCCTGTAGAAGAATGTCAAATTGATGGCACTAGCCAAACCTACACCCACCTAAAGACCAACGGTTATTAAAGTTGTGCTACAGGAAGGGGTCAAAGTCAGTATTAGAAATATACTTTATTGAATTCTACAGCAACTAATCTACCTTCTGTGTTCACCAGGAAGAATGGAAGGAATATATAAAGGTTAAAGGGAAAGTCTGCACTATTCAAACTGCTATAGCCACTCTGCCGACGGCGAGGCAGCCCGGTACCCTCTAGGACACAGTAACAATCCCTTCTTGTTCAAAATAACAAGTGATTTCTCTTGGGATTCTGAAGTGCATTTATTCACATGATTGTGCCCTCTGCTTTAGTAAGGTTCTGACTGATAGAACCCTCTTCCCATCCTCTCATGCTTGACTGTGGAATACAGTCCACTCTAGAGGACAGGGAAGGCCGGAAGTCTGGGCGGCACGAGCCACACTGGCCCACGCTAATGACTTTACTCAGTTATGCTCTTTCACGGGGCTTGCTCCTTTGTCCTCTTTCAGCTGAATTCTTTCTCTAGATTCACTCCAGATGAGAAAAAGACCGCTTCTGGATAACAAGCATTTCTACTATCAAAAAAATGTAAGATTAGATGAAGACTTTTACTTCAAGACAGAATCACTGCAGTGCATTCCAGGCAAGCCCTATAGCAAACCAAACACTTGTGCAAGACCACTGAAGCCTGCAGTCTGCCCCCAGGCACTGAGGACACTTCAAAGCTTGTAAACGGAACCTTGACCTTAACAGAAGACCGCATTTGGTAATGGAAACAATATATTTCTCCACTGACATACAATACTGTGTAATGCACTGAAAATTTCAGGATGGACTTTGGAGTAAGAGCACAATTTGTAACATATCATTTTCAGATCACCTCTTCGTTCCACTCGGATACTCTTCACTAGCCCTGGTGTATCCAATATATACTGAGGATGAAACCAGACAAGGAAATGGTGTCACAAGCCACAATGGAGCCTTCTGCATGCAGTTCAGCCCGGCTTTACCCTTGCTTTCTTCCAATACAGACTCCATTACAATTGTGAACCATCTGCAGAGTGCAGACAAACAAAACTACTAAAAAGTATCTCTCTATGATTAGAATATTTTAAGGTCTTCAGAAACTTCGCACATGTACCTTTGATGGAGCTCCCCCACCCACCACTAGAACGCAAACAGGGATATCCTTTGCTCCTGGAAGTCCTGCCAAAACGTGTTTAATGGATGCTCAGTTTTGGTTTTCCTCCTTATTCTTCCTCTTCTTCCTCCTCTTCATCATCATCTTCATCATGGCAGTGTGTAATTTCCTGGGGGGCCAGTGGGAAGAGGTTGGGGGGTTTAATTTCACTAATCGACCGGGTCAACTGGTGCCGCTTGTAATCAGTATCTTTGAAATCAACTGATGTGCGGTTCCGGGTAGCAAGAGGGGACTCCATCTCATTAATATCTACATGTGTATGTTCCACCGTTGATTCATGAGGCATCTAGAACAAAGTCAGAAGGTCAGAAAGCAGGTGGAGTGAAACAGTTTCCCAAATCCTAACCCCATCTCCCTCGGTTAGGTGGTTGTGCAGAGACAGGTCTATAATGGATCAAAGGCCAAGCCAAATTAGATACTTCAGCATCTTCCGGGAACTACCTTCCTCTCATCCCCAACTCTTAAAACAGCCCAGATCTCAATTATTAGAACCCGAAACTGGAAAAGATGGGGGGAGAAAGATTCCTATTTCACAGCAAAAAAAACAGTCCTGCTATAGATCAGTATCTAAACACAGCACTATAAAAACTGCAGTGCTCACAAAAGAGGAAAGTCTTCACTACTCAACTTTTAATATGACAAATTTCAGAGTACACTTATACCCTATGCCATTACCTATACCTTCTCAAAGATCCTTTTTGGTGCAAGCATGGAACTTGGTTATGGGCTTTTGCACATTAGGAAAAAAATGCAAATTAGGAAAAAATGCCTGGGTGGCCCAGATGGTTAAATGGCCAACTCTTGATTTTGGCTCAGGACATGATCTCACCATCCAAAGGATCAAGCCCCGTGTTGTGCTCTGTGCTGACAGCATGGACAGTGCTTGGGATTCTGTCTCTCCCTCTCTCTCTGCCCCTCCCCAGCTCTCAAAATAAACAAAAAAAAAAAAAAAAAAAAAAAAAAAAAAAAAAAAAAGACCCAAACTCTACTGTGCCATCCCACAAAGCTGGCTGCAGCTCTCAGCAGTAAGTGTCTATCTTTATTGTAAAGAGCAGCCTAAGACTGTGTCAACTCACCAAGACGTGGGCAGCTCTGAAGAGGTAGCTGAAGGGGTAATAGAGCAGATTGATGAAGGAGGCTGCATAGAGGTCAGCGTACCGCATCACCTGGCTGGCGAAGAGGGTCTGTCGGGAGCCACTGCGGAACAGGCTCCCCATCATCCCATAGCACATGTCCATGTCATGTGTTACTTTCTGCAACAGACAAGAGACTGAATTCTAGTAGTTGTTGGGTGCTGGCTATGTGCCTATCCTTGTATCACAGGACAAAGACAAAAATCACAACTTTATTTTCCAAGATCTCTCCCAAATCCCATTTGGATACCTTAATACGTCTCTGGATGGAACTAATGTCAGGGCGCTCATTGCTGCTGCTATCAAGGTGCCTGGAGGCGAAAAAAGAAAACTCCACTGAAAATCTCTGGGAAAGAGGTCTCTTAGACCTAGCTGATTCTCAAAGAGGTAGATGGTTTTAGGGAAGAAATGTTTATCTTTAGAATCTGGAAACTTACTTGTAGAGTTCAGCCAAGAAAATATCCAAGCTCTGAAGCTCTTCGAAAAGTGCTAAAGTTTGGAAGGAAAAGAAAAATGTTTTCAACAAAAAGCATTCAGGTTTTAACTCTTCTGAAACTAAAAGGCTGCAGCTATGACTGAAAGGTAAAGCTATGGTGAGTGTACAAAATGACTTTATTCTCCTGCTTGGGATCTGGCAGCAAGTGAAAGCCACGATTCCTTCTTCTACTTCAACACAGCTAGCTACAACTCTTCTTTCCCAATGGATGCTAAGTGCTAATTTGTATCCCATCGGAGGTGTGTTGCAGCAAAACAAGTGTTAACAGTTCCATTTTCAGATCAAAGAATGAGGATTAGGGGACGTGTCCAGAGTCACAAATCCAGGAAACAGAGCCAAATCAACTAGACTAACAGAATTTCAGAGGTAGAAAGTTGAAAACGGGCATGAAGGACCAGCCAGAAAATCCCACCAAGGACCAGCAACAGCCAGCAGCTGTTGCCTGTTTTGTTGGGGTTCTGGCCTTTCTCAACCTGGGTTCCCCAGAGAGAAGCCCTAATGTATATACTGTTTTAACAAATTTTCTTTACCTACCGAGAGTCACCTAATCAATTTCTCTGTTCTGTGGATCAGATGAGGAGCCTAGGTTGAGAAGGGTTGTTACTTGTATCTTTATATACACATTATTCCAGTTAAGTCTCAACTTTATAAAGTAGGTATTATCCTCATTTTCATATTTGAGGAAACTAACCCACAGTAACTTGACTAAGGGCATGAAGGTATTAGGTAGTAGAGCTGGGGTAACTACCTGACGCAGTACCTCTCCCCACACTGTGGGTGATGCTAGCTAGGACTGGCTGGAGAATTTACGGGTCAAACGGGTTTACATAACTAGACCTACAGCTCAATTCCATGTACAGTTCAGAGGATACAATTTGGCCTCATTCTCTACTTCTCAGAAGAGCAGGAAAAAAAAAGGGATGTAATTACCACTCAAAGTCATCAATGCCCCCAACATCACAGAGGCTGGTGGCAGAGAGACAGGGAACTAGTATGTGTGGTTGGAAAATATGGGACTACAAAAGGAAGTAGAATTCAGTTTAGTTGCTATAGTAATAGAATTCAGGATAGCAACATTCTGTCCTTAACCCTGAAAGAATGCAAGAGAAAGGCTGAACACCCGAACCTCTCCTATTTCCTCAAATTCTGGAGTTCTGTAAAATATCTGGCTGGAGGGAAGTATCTTTGACTACCTCTGCCTCCTCTCCCTTTCTCCCCACATACGAAGTAATAAGTTCATCCAAGAGGACTGATTCATACAGCTGGATATAAAACAGGAGTAATGGCTCCTTACAGCTCTTATCAGTCCAGACGTGCAGCTCCTGTGCAAGTTCAGGAATCACCAAGAAAGTTCGCCACCCTTGTCGTTTCTTTGATTTTAAAATGTCCCCAAAAATGTGATCTCCGATATACAAAATGTCCTTGCCCTTAGCTCCCAAGAGATCACAGACTGTATCAGATGAACCTGAAACAAGGGAATGAACAATGGGAAAACAAAAATGTCTCCATATTAAAAACGAGAATCCTAAGTACCATAACCATTAGATACTGTACTGATTAATTTTATTCTTATGCAAGGAACAGACTAGAAAAAGGGCTCACCTTAAAGACCCACCATTGTTTTTCTTTCCTCATTCCTTTTATTGCCTCTAACGCAAGGCCTTCAGTTCCACTGTGCTAACCAGAGCTCTTGAAAACCAAATCCAAGAGCAACAAAACTACATGTCTCAGCTTTAGTAAATATAATTCTCCCAAAGCACAGCCATTTCTCATCACAGAAGATCTGACATTAATTTTGTTTTGTTCAACAATTTCTCACTGCAATGAAATATGCATCAGTGTCCACAGGGGCTCCTAGAGGACCCCTTTGAGAACCACCTCAAATCATTCCAGGACACTGAGAAAAAGTCTCAAATACGTAAAAGGATGAGGAAACACTGATCCTTTTAGTGAAAATCAAAGATTCGTTAGGACATACTAACAACTTCTCAAACCTGTTCTCCCTGACTCCTACTGCATTAGCAGGTGACTAAAGCAGTTACCTTCAGGAGACAGTATCTTCAGAATACTAAAGTATAACTGGCACTCTGCCAGGAGGACACCAAAGCTTTCACGATGAAATCTGAACAAAGACTTAAACTAAATAAAGGGAAATCTGTGACTCACCTCCTGAGTAGACGATGCCATGTTGTAAGGGGCCTGTGTAGGTACCAATTTTCAGCTTGCCAGTTTTCTGTGAGAAGAGAAGACTTTCTAATAATTTACTGTTCTATCACAATCTCCACCCAAAATGCAATCTGGATAGGCATCTAAATGATTGGCACTTTTGAATTATATTCTTTTGAAATTATTGGGCTATCTCAATTAAGATTAAAACTCTGAAATTCAAAAGAAAGATATGGATAATAAATTAAAAATACCTGTTTCCTTAGGAAGAATAAGAGTGGGAAAAGGAGAAATACGAAGGACAATGTGCCAGCAGACAGATCATCCTCTTGACTTACTGTGTCCACCTGACGCAGTACTGTGCCTTCTCCAAAAAAGAGTGGCTTCCGTGCATCCACCAAGATCAGGTCAAAGTAGGACTGCCATGGTCGATGGGAGCTCCCAGGCTGATGAGGTTGAGAAACAGCAAAAGCCAAAACATCACTCCTAACCCTTGAGGCACTAATATTTAATCTCACTCAAATGTAAGGAATGTAGACATATTAAGTATACACAGAAGATCCCACTATTGTATTAAAAACACAGTGTGTTAGCGGCCATATTCTTTTGGAAGCAGGCAAGGTGAAAATATAAATTAACACATTTTAAATCATTTCCTCTACTAACATTTCGCAGCAATTTAACATATGAAGGAAAGTGTCCTCACACTCTGAAATAGGCAAAAAAGGCTCAAAGGTTGTGAAGGAAAGATGCAAACTGATATTCAAGAAGACAGTTTAAGAAAGAGGCAGATCAGCATCAGAACTTAAGTATACAAACTAACATGGAACTGTTACTAGCAAATTTTATTGGTTATGTTCTCAGAATAATGGCTCTAGGTACACATTAGCCTTTGGCTCATACTGGAGGCTCGTCACGGCACTAATAGAGAAGTTATGCCCATTAACATGCTTTCTATCCTGAAGTGGGACCAGGGTATTAAACTTGTAAGGTCAAGCTGTGCTTTTGGGTGACCTTTTCAAAACAGAGATTTACTGATATTTAACCAAAGAAGGACTAAGTCCCACAAGGATGTGACTAGGCTGCAATGAGTATTCCTTAAATTTAAGTGTAGCCACACTGTGGGAATGAAGACTTCTCTGCTAAATATCAAGATTAACTGTTCTTGAACAAAACTCAGCAATAACTAAGAGTAGTATCTAGAAGTTGCCAAGAATATACATATCTTTTGTTTCTTTTAATCATCTATCTTCCTCAATGTGAAAATTCCTTACTTTGCCATACAAACTTAGTAACTCCACACAGAACTTCTAGGCTGTAATTATTCTGATCCCATCCTACTAAATAACACAAATATCTCCCCTTTATTTCTATCTACTATGTTTTCAAATCTCTAGCAATGTTAAACTACACTAGCTCCTGCATTGCTTCTAAGGTTAATGAAGATTTCTAGAGGAGTTCTGACAATTCCTGACTCTGAATATTCCAGGATCACTAAATGCATTCATTATTACTAAAAGCAATGGTCTGTTAAGTTACATATAGTACCTTGGGGCCATGTGGGAAATCGAACAGGTAAGTCATAATTTTCTGGAAAAAAAAAATCCAACATCAGGTCCATATACTACTTTTGCAAACAATATGCAGCACCTAAAAAAAACTTCAAACCCAACCTTTTCATATGACGTGTCTTTTTCAATACAGGATTTATCACATTCTTTTTTCCCCTAAGTTTATGAAATCATGGCAGCTAAAGCCAGAAATTAATGCTTCATCATAACAAACTACAGCTGACATTCTCAGTAGGACATAGGCTTCTAGGATGTAATTTTGTACACTTCATCCATATATCCCTACCAAATCCTCTTAACGGACTGCAATACATATTTGGAATTGGTATCTGAGGTCAGGGCATCGACAAAACTAATGACTCACATGGAAATAATATACGTTGGCCTCCTTACTATTTATTGTTTCTAGACTAACCAAGCCAATGAACCATTAGATTTGTTGGCTTTGTAAGACTGCTTACTCCAACAAATCACCAGATTTCTAAATCAAGATTTTGCATGAAGAGAATTGCAGAGCATTGGGCTTCTTGCTAGTACTATAAACCTGTAACTGTCTTAGCAAAAATAAGATGAGGCTAAGGAGTTAAGCTCGCTTTTCAACATGCTTTAGTCCTGGCAAAGATAATGTCTAAGTTAAAAGGTAGTAAATTTTGATGGCGAAGAGTCCAAACATCTTTGCACCATCTTCTGCTATCTGGCTCCCAGCAGCAGGGAGGGCATTTACACATATGCAGTAAATAAATGTGTGACTTCTCAAGTTTGGTGCATAAGTGATGCACCAAAGAGACACAGAAGCCTTTTTAAAATCAGCACAAAGGTTTTAAACAACCTCCAAATTAAAACCTTCAAGTAACCAACTGTAATCAGGGAAAAGTCAAAAGAAATATTTAGAAAAATTTGAGAACCACTCCAATGTGGCCCTTCAGCTATATATTCTTTTTCCACTCTGCTCTCAAAATGATATGGCAAAAAAATACCCTCACTTAACGAGTGTCCTCATGATCTTCATTCCCAGTTCCTTAGGCCAAAGTAACTCCTCTGTGTAAATAAACAAGTATGAACATTAGGCACTTACATCTGTGTATTTATAGTCACTGTTGGTGGCAAGAAACACTTTCCCTACTTCCTTCATTCGACTCAGAAGCAAAGGCAGTTTTCCCTGAAATGTAATATGATGATGAGTGAAACACTAAACCACAAATACACAGTCACTTCAACTTTTGTCTACCTGAGTAAGCATAGGGGATGCGCTCTGAGGGTTGGTTGATTTCAGAGTTTTACATTTAAAAGACCATATTATCATTATGCGTGAAGTATTAAGCTAGCAGTATACATGGTGTATATAACATATAGGTGTATATATAAAATGACACATACAGATGATATGATTAGATATATTATTAAATATGCTTATTAAAAACACCTTGGGGCACCTGGCTGGCTCAGTCGGAAGAGCATGCAACTCTTGATCTCAGGGTTGTGAGTTTGAGCCCCACACTGGGTGTAGAGATTACAAAAAATAATAATTAAATTAAATTAAATTGAAAAATAAAACCATCTCTACCTTCCTCATGTTTGCCTCAGGAAGGAGTTTAAATTACCTTGTAATCTCTTAAAATATATGAATGAGGTATATTAAAGGTGAGGAGAAGCTGATTTTAAACATCACCAGCAAAATACAAGGAGAGCATAAGATATGGCTTCCCTGTGTAGGCTTTTCTCTTGTATACCTTGTAGAATGAAATGTCATGTGCAGGATGGAACCTAGAAATGCTCAGACCCATCTGCAGACACATGAGGAAATTCTAACTCCTGATGAGACTGGAAAGAAAAGCAGCTTTTCCTTCTCTCACACTAAATAGGTTCCTTCACTCAAATTCTCCTGGACCTCTTGTGAACCCCTCAGTGTTCTCTCTTGAAAGAAGAGTGGAATTAGGAGTGGAGGGGAAAAAGGAAGTACAAAGACTGAAAACACTAAGAAATCTGTATCAAAGTACTTTGAAAAAAATACTGCATTCCACTACTCATACTCTGTGAGAAAAGGAAGTATCTCATCTCGGAGCTGTGTTTCCTTCTTACATTAAAGTAATTCCAAATTTTTGCACCACTGGTTGGAATGCAAATTGGTACAGTCACTCTGGGAAACAGCACAAAGGTCTCTTAAAAAGTTAAAAATAGAACTACCCTATGATCCAGCAATTGCACTACTATCCAAGGGATACAAAAATGCTAATTCAAAGGGGCACATGCACCCCAATGTTCATAGCAGCACTATCGACAATAGCCAAATTATGGAAAAGGCCCATATGTCCACTGATGAATGGATAAAGAAAATGTGATTGATTTGTGTGTACATACGTGTACATACACACACACACACACACACACACACACACACACACACACACACACTGGAATATTACTTGGCAATCAAAAAGAATGAAATCTTGCCAAATATTTGCAATAACATGGATGGAACTAGAGTGTATCATGCTAAGCAAAGTAAGTCAGAGAAAGACAAATATATGATTTCACTCATGTGGAATTTAAGAAACAAAACAGATAGACATGGGGAAAGGAAGGAAAAATAGGATAAAAACAGAGAGGGAGGCAAACCATAAGAGACTCTTAAATATAGAAAACTGAGGGTTGCTGGGGGTGGAGGGAAGGGGCATTAAGGAGGGCAGTTGTTGCGATGAGCACTGGATGTTGTATGTTAAGTGATGAATCACTAAATTCTACTCCTGAAACCAATACGACACTATATGTTAATTAAACTAGCCTGATTTTTTCCCCATATTCTTCATCTAGCTTCCCTTAATATTAAAGATCTTACTTACACATAGTACAATGATCAAAACTAAGAAATTAACATTGGCACAATTCCATAAACTACAGATTTAAAAAATTTACTGTATAAACTTGGACAAATTATATATAACCTGTGTTCCTCAGGTTTTTAAAAATTATTTTTTTTTTGTTTTTGAGAGAGTGCAAGTGGGGGAGGGGCAGAGAGAGAGAGAGAGAATCTTTTTTTTTTTTTTTTTAATGCATTTTTGTCTTTTAGAGAGAGAGAAAGAGTGCAAGTGTAAGCAGGGGAGAGGCAGAGAGAGGGGGAGAGAGAATCCCAAGCAGGCTCCATGCTATCAGCACAGAGCCCAATGTGGAGCTCAATCTCATTAACTGCAAGATCATGACCTGAGCCAAAATCAGGAGTCAGATGCTTAACCAACTGAGCCACCGAGGCACCCCAGAGGGAGAGAATTCTTAAGCAGGATCCACACTCAGCACAAAGCCCAACGCGGGGCTTGATCTCACGACCATGAGATAATGACCTGAACTGAAATCAAGAATCAGACGCTTAACCAACTAAGCCACCCAGGAGCCCCCTTCAGCTTATCTACAAAGCAGAGGTAACAATACCTCACTCAGGGTTATATGGAAGATTAAAGGGCATGTAATCACTTAGTACAGTGATGTACACACAGTAACTACTCTAGCTGCTATTATCATTAGAGCTAAAAAGACAAATGATATACTGGATCTTCTTGCCAAGGAACAAACAGGGAAAACTATCCTAAGACCTATGTTCTGGCTGAAAATTCCTGGTGATTGTACTTGACATATATTATATCAAGACAAATTAGTATCTTCCTTTATCCATTTCATTATAAATAGGTTTGTTATTGATTTCCCTGATTTGCAGATCTATTTTCCCCTTTATTACTTACATCTTTGACTACGTACTTCTCAAGATTTTCAACTGTCTTTTCCTTAAGGGAGCCCTACAGGAAGAAAAAAAGGAAAATAAGAACAAAATCAGTTTTTAACAGTTTATACTACTATCAACCCAATGCATTTTTAAAGTATTTACCAAAATGGAAAAGTACATAAACTAGAAATGGCCATGATAAAGCAGATGTGATTTGCTGCAACTCTGCCTCCAAAAGGTATTTAAAATATAAAACTATGTTTATTGTAAACAAGAAATCAAAAGGTATTTCATATTTTATTCAGTATAATTTATAGTAAGTATAATTTTAATTAGTTAATGTATTAGTCAAACAGGAGGTATTTGGAAAAAAACAATAATCATCCTCAAAGGTAGGGGGAAGTATAATCTTAATACTAAAATCTCTTCTAAGTTTGGGAAATGAAAACTGAAGTAAGAGCTGGAAGCCAAGCAGGATCACGGGAGGAAAGATCAGCACAACTTCCGAAAGTAGGACAAAGACAAGAAGAAAAGTATTCTAGAGAGCTGTCACTAGGGGGCAAATCCTTTTTTTTTTAAATGGAAGAAAAATTCTGCTCTATTTGCACTTGGAAAGTTAATGTCAGACCACAAGACACAAGCCACAGAGTGAACAGGCGACGCAGCAGCTCCCAGGTACCTTGTAATGAACCCAGTCAACAGCATCTCTTACATCCTGGAACATACTCCGGTAAGACATGAAGAGGTCCCCATCTTTAAATCCTGTTTCACAGCTATACAAAGACGAAAAAAACATGACAGGGAATCCAAAAGAGGGTAAGTAAAATGAATATCAAACATTGCCCAGGGGACCCAAGGATTCCATGATCACATGGAAAGACTAGGCTAATTAGGAAAATAATTACTCCCTAACGAAAATCCATTTTGACAACCAGAAAGGACTACAGTGTTCAATGGAATACAATAATTGTGAACAAATACAAAGTGATAGAACAATATATTGAACGAAACCTAAAAGGTCAGTTCCAAAAATATCATGTTCTTTTACTCATCACTTTTAAGAAACAGGTTCCCATCAAAGAAACATTTAAAACTTAAAATTGGTCATTTAGGTGCTCTTCATCCTGACTCTTCTGATGTTTTCTCTAGGTACAAAGGTATTGCCTTTTTTCTATTTAGCTGAGTGACTTGGTGCCCCACCAGATTTAGTGCCTTGAAGCGGATAAGGCCTAGACAGGATAAGTTAGCCAACTCTGACACATACGGCTGAGCTTTCAGCAGTGGTTATACAATTTGCCCTAAAAAGGATAGGATACCTTGTTCAAGACTTAAACAAAATTTTACTTTGAGGAGGATAAACCATATTTACTCCTCAATCAAATCTTGCTGGGCCTGGGAATGAAACTAAACTGTCATCGCTGAATGGCTCCCGGGTAGCTGCTGTGAAATGAGTTGGGGGGTTTTAGTGTAATTCTGCTTGGACAGATAATCATCACACAAACCTCCCACTCAGTTGTCACAATTAGCACCTCTGCTGGCCGTCTTCATTCCCAGGAGAAGCCAATCAGAAGTGGTCCCTTCCAAACATGGCTGCAGCACACTGGCAAGGAGAGGGGGCCGTGTGGGAGGTGAGAGCCTGCATGGAGCTGCTGGTGCTGTCCCATCTCTCAGGCTGGCAATGTGGCATCTCTCACTAGCACTAAATTCACTTCAGAAAAGCAGAAAAGACCTACAATGGCCAGTTCTCTAAAACCCTGTACATTAATTTAAAAAAATCAATTGGAAAAAGAAAATTACACTATATACATACCTGGTATATCTAGGACAATTAGTAAAAAAATCTACTAGGCAAGCCAACAGGTAGGTCTCTGAAAAATGAAGAACAGATATTCATAAACATAAATGAAATAATTCAAACTTATTTCATTATCTCCCTTGAGCAAAGACAAATGATCATGAAAAGAAGGGAAAGCATCCGTATATATAAGCACAGAATGAGTCTACCTGGTAGGTTGAACAGTGTGTTCAGAATGTAAAATCTTTCAGTGTCATCCCGCTGGATAAATTTATTTGGATACTGCTCTCTAGTTTCTGGTCTGAAAGAAAAAATTTAAATTAACTGACATTCAAAAAATGAACATTACAACCATGAGAAATATTCATCATTCAAAAATTCATTCAAATATTTTGGTGGCTACGTGCAAGGCAGGGTCTAAATATTACACGTGAGTAGCTATGAAGATCAACAAGCTCGGGTTCCAGCCCTTAAACAGCCTTCGGTCAGCTAAGGGAGGCGAGTCACATACACAAACAGTTATCACAAAGTAAAAAATCACAACTGCCACAAGAAAGGTGCAGAGAGCTATGAGAAAACTGAGGAAGAGGAGACCATTTCAACTTAAGGGGTAGAAAAAAGTGTATGTGGGTGTGAGAAGAGGGAAATCTAGGAGGGATTCATGAAAAAGGTGGCACAGAAGCTGGTCCTTAAAGGCTCAGAAGATCCAATTCAGAAACTAGTCCAAACTGGGTAGAGACAGGGGAGCAGAGGAAAATAAAGCTAGAAGGATGAATTGAGGCAGATCATGCTGCTATCTTTCACTCAGAGTGCCATCGACAGGTTTTTGGTGCCACTGACAGTCTTTACACAAAAGGATAAAACCATCAGAGCTAAACTGTAATAATACTCCATTAGTAACAGTTTTAGGATAAAAAGGAGAAAGAAATGTGATATGTGGCACAAATGGCTACAAATTCTTTCCATGCCTTTGTAATGTGTGACTTTGCAGTTGCTCCAGCTAAGAGGCTCACTCTCCCTCTCCACCCTCAAATAAACGTTTGAACAGCAGCAACGAGGGATCCAGGCAGAAACTCTGAAAACACCTGCATATTGGGGCGTGCTTACTCTTGCTGCATTTGGACCTCAGACTGCTGTGTGAGTGAGAGAGATAACCTGCTGGAGCATAAAGGCTACATACAGAAATGAGGAACGCCCACCACAGGCTGCCAACTGCCAGACATGTGAGTCAGGCCATTCCAGATCAGCTGAGCAACCCCAGAATTGCCCAGCTGACTCTCAGAATTTTAAGCTAAATAAAACAGTCGTTGTTTGAAGCCAACAGGCTTTCAAGTACTTCATTACGCAGAAAAACTAACTGACACAAAAGACTGGGAAATCAGTTAAGTGGTTATTGCAGTAGCCTAGATGAGAGCAGGAAGGGTCTCTCCTAGAGTGATGGGACAGGAAATTAAAGGGAAGCATTAATCATGAGAGACTACCAAGGTAAAATGAATTAAGACCAGGGGACTGATTGGCTGTGGCAGATGAGGACATGAGAATCAAAGATGATGCTCACATAAGGATGTCTCTGAGAGGGTAGGGTGGTGGTACCATTTACAGAAATATGAAAACTGAATAACAAGTAGGTGTAAGAGGAGTTTTATTTTGGAAAGTAAACAGATTTTTATAGGTGATTAATTAGAAACAAGGTCAAAAACTTAAAACAGAGATTCAGACTTAAGAGAGAACTGGGATCATCTACACATAGGTAAAAGGTGAAGCCACGAAGACTGTTATAGTGGATAAGGTCACTTACGGTGCAGAGGAAAAACAGAAGACTGAAATAGACCCAAGGGGAACATTTAGGGTTAAAAGGAAAAAAGCCAGCAAAACAGACAGAAGTTGTTAGAGATGCCCAAGAACCTTGGAGAGTGAAATGAAACACTCCAAGAAGTTGAAGGGGACAGCATTAATTTAAAAAAAAAATGTAGAGAGAAACCAAAAGGGAGAAAAACTAAAACATAAAAATGCACAATCCTCAGGGAACCTAGCTGGCTCAGATGGTAGAGCATGCAACTCTAGATCTTGGGGTTGTCAGTTCGTGCCCCATGATGGGTGTAGAGATTGCTTAAAAATAAAATATTTATTTAAAAACTGCACAGTTCTCACAATGAATATATAAAGATAACTAATCTAAATAAAGGCCATCAAATTTAAAGTTTGTACTCAGTTTGTAACCTGGTCAATTCCTGCTTGGGTCTGTTAACTACCAATGGCATAAATTCTAGTTAGGAAAAGAAAATCACATTAGCTCCCTGTCTTAGTCACTCTTCTGAAATAAGAGTGCCCAGTAAGGAATAACTTTGTAGAATATCTCATTTTCTAGCCTTCTAAGATTTTCTGTATTAAAAATTAAGGTGGAAGGGAATAGTAATGATATGCTTTCCTCAGTCGGGTTTAGTAAGATGCCACTGTCTCCTTAGATATACTTTCCTATTCTCTCCATCATTAAAAAGTAATTCCTTTACATAAGGATAGTTAACAGTTATTTATTAGGCAATAAGAACCCAAATGACTTATAAATAGAGTTAGCAATTACATTCTGTTTAAGTTAAGTGTTGGGCGCCTGGTTGGCTCAGTCAGTTAAGCATCTGACTTCAGCTTAGGTCATGATCTCATGGTTTGTGAGTTCAAACCCCACTCTGAGTGAGCATGAACCCTGCATTGGGTGAGCACGAGCCCCACTTCAGGTAAAACATTAGCCCTGCTTTGAGTGAGCCCACTTATTTATCTCTCTCTCTCTCTCTCCCTCCCTCTCTTTCCCCCCACTCTCTGCCCTTTGCTCACTTGTGCCCTCTTAATTGTCAAATCAAGCTAGCATATATTTAAAATAAATATTAACTGGGGGCAGATAATGTATCCCAGAAGAAGGAATGCTAGACTTGGGAGCTGGGAGGAAAACTGTTATGGACTACTGTACTGCTAACTTTCTGTGACTCATAGAAATAAATATGTGATCTCAACATTATCCCATCCTAGAACTTTAAAGGCCTTTGCCCCTGTCCAAAAAAGAGGCCCCAACTCATTGACAAGGTGTGTAAAGCAATGCCTGATGGAGCCCTAACCTCCCTGCCAGCCTCATCCACCAGTATGCTTCAATAGCTTGTTCTTTCCCTCTCTCTCCATCCTCAGCCTCTCCTTCTCCACAGGCTTTTCCTCTGGATTCTAAAGACTATAGAGTGTTAAGTGCTGTTTGAATGATTCTGCATTACTCATAAATGGCTTATTTTTGGGGCACCTGGGTGGCTCAGTTGGTTGGGCGTCTGACTTCAGCTCAGGTCATGATCTCACAGCTCGTGAGTTTGAGCCCTGCATCGGGCTCTGTGCCAACAACTCAGAGCCTGGAACCTGCTTCAGATTCTGTGTCTCCCTCTCTCTCTGCCCCTCCCCTGCTCATGCTCTGTCTCTCTCTGTCTCAGAAATAAATAAAAACATCAAAAAAAAAAATTAAAAAAAAAATAAAAAAAATAAATGGCTTATTTTTGAAACACTACTAAAAATACTTCCAAAGGAGCCATTTGGAAACTTTATTAGTTTATTTGGGGAAAGAAAGAAGATCTGTGGATCCTGAGTTAGTAACACTAATTGCAGTACTCATTTATAGAACAACTTCCTTTCCTTTTCCTCTCTGACTACCCCTCTCCATAACACAAAAATCCCTTTTCAGACATTAAAAAATAGAACCTTGGTTCATCTTCATTGAGATTTTGAATTACGGTACAATATCCATTTATAAAATAGCTTAGGCTGCTAACACTATTTGCAATCACTTCACATTCTAAATCCTGCCTCCTGATATTCATGGATCTTGAACAAACCCCTCATGAGAGGAGCAGTGAAAGAGAGGGAGATATAATCACAGGCCTGCCCAGATGTGTCAAGGTGGGGTGTTTACTTCACACTGTTTGCACTATGTCTATGTGGAAACCTTTGAGCCTATGTAATTCCAACTGAAAAATCTTGTATCAGATGCTTCAATTCTAAACAGGGCATTGCTGTGATCTCAGATTTAAATGATATTCTGGTACAGTTTCAGTTAGCTTGTGCCTCTTATCACAAAAAAGTAATTACCAAAAACACACTCTCTCTTTAAAAATTTCAGTGCAGACTGTGTGGTTTTTACTATTTTGCCTTTGAAAATAATATATAGGAAAGTTATACAAGAGACTGACAGATAATCTATTTTGGTTTTAAGTATTGCTCTGTGCCTAATGCAGTATCAGTAGTAAATTAAGTAGTATAATAGTGAAGAAAATATATAATTGCAAAGTTATGAGGACAAAAAAATGTCAAACTGTGGTATTGTGATTTGTAAAGAAAAAATTGGGATGTTTCACCAAAAAATAGTAGACCAAAACATTGTAGACAGTAAATTTTATCTACTATTTACTAAGGCAAAAAGTCCGAGTTAGGGAGAATGGAAATATTCTGATTATGAAAACAAAGCTTATTCTAGTTTTAAATATTACCCTATTTTTATTTTTAGCCTGTTTTTAAAAAATTTAACCACATGATCAAGTATCTGAAGCTATTCATTAGAATATAAAAAAATCATATATTAGCTGTTAAAAATCTTAGTCATTTACACTGTTGTAATTTTACATTTTTCAAAGAGCTTTTATATACATACCTCTTCTGAGCAGCTACCTGAGAACTGTATTAAAAAGGAGAAAATAAAAATCTTAGAATTGCAAATAAGTCAAAGCCACTACAATTCTTTTTGGGCAAGTTTCAGGATTAACTTTGTTGGATGCTATATAATTAGAAACCACTTAATTTACACAAAATGTAACTGCTAACTATATAAGTCCATTTGAGTCCTAACTGCCTAATAAATAATTGTTAAATATCCTTATGTAAAGAAATTGTTCTTTAATGATGAGGGAACAGGAAAGTATATTACATCTGGGGAGACCCGTGATCTTCATTATTTTTTCACTATAAAAACACTAGACAGAGGCTAAAAGTTCTATGTACTCACCCTCTTATGAAGTTAAATCCATGTGCACAGACCAAGAGGTTTCCATAGGCATCAACTTTCAAAAGATTTCCATATAGTGTATCAAAGACAAGTCCCCTATATGCAAATAAGGACATCATCAATAATACAGGCAACAATCTCATGTAGTATTACTCAATCATCATAAACCAATGCCATCTTATTCAATCTTTACGAAGACTCAAGCATGTCCCAAACAATATAATCCTGGAGGATGAAGTGAATAAAATCTTAAAAACTAAACCCAGAGGGGCTCCTGGGTGGCTCAGTTGGTTGGGCGACCGACTTCGGCTCAGGTCATGATCTCACAGTTCGTGAGTTCGAGCCCCGCGTCAGGCTCTGTGCTGACAGCTTGGAGCCTGGAGCCTGCTTCACATTCTGTGTCTCCCCCTCTCTCTGCCCCTCCCATGCTCATGCTCTGCCTCTGTCTCTCAATAATAAATAAACGTTAAAAAAAAAACTTTTTTTAATAAAAAAAAAACTAGGGGCGCCTGGGTGGCGCAGTCGGTTAA